TTCAGTTGGCAATGGTGAACTAAAATGTGAAGAAAAGAGCTGTCCCAACCTGGCTGGCATTGTAGTGAGAGAGATTAGCAGGCCGGGCTCCTCTGCAGGCCAGCAGGTTGCCATTCCTGTGCAGGAGCAAATACTAACAGCCCCTACCATGCACCAGGCACCTTTCTAGATGCTGTGCATGTAACTGTTTACTTAATCCTAACAGTAAACTCTTGAGTAATCCTGTTATCAACTCCATTTAAAATTTTTTATTACATGTATTTAATTTATTGGGGGTGGTATGCCAAGTTGTGCATGCAGAAGTCAGAGGACAATTTGCAAGAGGATCAAACTTGGGTGGTCAGCCTTGGCAGCAAGTGCCTTTACCCAATGCACTCTCTCAGAACCTCTATCATCCCCATTTTAGAGATAAGAAAACCAAAGTCCACAGAAGCAATTTGCTCAAGGTACCTTTGCTAAGAGATGGCAACACTGGCATTTAGTCTCAAGCACTTGGCTCTACCAGGCTTTTCTATGGCAAAATGTTAATTGTGTCGGTTCTTTGTCATAAAAATTTCACTTCTGGGAATGAATCTTAACAAGTTAACTAGGCAAGTGCCCAGAAATACAGACATAAGAATATTGTCTTCTGTGTGAAACACATCCGTGAAAAGACAAGAACAGTTTCAAAGCTCACGGATAGGAGATCCATTGACTAAATGACGTTATTTCCATAAGGCAGAATGCTATGCAACCATTAAAAAGTCTGATGTATATTTATATTCGCTGATATGGAAAGATTTCCACAACATATTGTTGAGTGGAAAAGCAGGTTGCAAAACAGCATGCCTAGTATGATCCCATTTAGGTAAAATTATATATATATCACTCAAGATCGGAGACGATGCTCACCAAAACTCGAAAGGTTATTATCTTGATGGGGGTTTCAGGGAACTTGTATTTTCTCCTTTCCTCCTTTCTTGTGTTGTTTGGATTTTGTACAGTGAGCATATATTATCTTTGTAAACAGAAAGGGCAATTTTTTAAAAAGTGAGCCTCCCAGGATTGGTGGTCCATTAGTTGGTTCTCACCGTGCTTTGTCCATCCATCCTAGAAGGTGAGCCTACTGTGTGCTGGACCTGGAGTGGGAACACAAAGGGAGAAACAGGCACCCAGAAGGCACCAGGACAGAGACAAGGCCACAGCAGGAAATCCAGGAAGAGAGACACATACATCTGCAGAGGGTGGATGGTGACAGGCACAAGCGATGCAGAAAGGCAGGGAGAAGATGGACCAGTGAGGAGCAAAGACCAGAAGGTACAGACACAGGTACTTGGTATGGGCGCCATGTCCTGGCTCCCAGGTTGGCTAATGCTGTCCTGTTAATGAAGTGAGTGATTAATAGCCAGGGGGATAGAGAGCTGGTATATGAGATTAATCCTAGTTAATGAATCCATTGTTAACGGCATTAAATAGCAACAGGGGGAGGGGAGGCAGCCTCCTCCTCACGCCTCTCAGTGCTCCAGGCCTCGGGGGAGGAGTGGTCTTGGCAGGAGGAAGAGAAAGGAGCACACTGAGCACATCTACTGTGAGTCAAGCTTCCTCACACTCTCACCTGCGCCCTTGCTGCTCAGCTCAAGGCAGCACAGTTGGTCACCTCGTCTCACTGGGCTGCAGAGAAGATAGCTTACCCTTGTCTCCAGGGCTGTACTGTATAGGTATGATGCCAGGTCAGGTCCTTACCATACTCACCTCCAGGCAAAGCTAAGTGGCAAGGTCTGGGGAGACAGAGTACAAGGGCAAAGTGTCCAGGGAAGCTGTCACGGGTCACAGAAGACAGGACACAAGCAATAAGAACTAGGGAGGGAGGGATCTTTGGCAGTGACATGGGTTAGAGAAAGAGTGGCAGGCAGAAGATCTTGGAGGATGTAGGGGTGGAGATGAGGTGGCCCTGAAGCACACGGCATCTCCTGTGGGACCTGATGCCAAGCATCCAAAGAGGCACCAGCATGGGGCCCTCTGCCCCTTTCACTGCCTCTACCATATGTCCAGCTGAGTACTTGGAGCTGTTTGAGTGGACAGAGGCCTGGCCAATCCCTTCCTGACCAGGGCTGTTCTAGGCATACAGCATACAGTTTGTCCTCCCCATAACCCAGGACCCTCAGAGAGTCTGTTCCCATTTCACAGCTATAGGTATTTATGTTTGAGAACCATCACTAACTGTCTAAGGATCACACAGCAAGTTAGTGGTAGCGCCTAGACTTGAAACCAATTGTAACTGACTTCAAAATCTAGGCTCTTGCTAAAATGCCTCTATCCCTTCTTATACCTTAAGGTGTTATCCCCAGACTAACAGTTTATTACTAAGTCATTAATTAGAAATGCAACTGGCTGAGGACAGCACTCAGTGGTTAAAGTTATTGTCATGTGTGAGGACCTGACGTCAGGTCCCCAGAACCCACATAAGTGATAGGTAGGCAAGGAGGCCAGCCTGTACTTCCAGCCTCAGAAGGTGGAGACAAGGGATCTCTGGGGCAAGCCATATCTCCAGGTTTGATTAAGAGATCCTGTTTCAAAAGAGTAAGATGCAAGAGAGAGGAAAACCCCCAGCATTAACCTCTATCTTCCATATGTATACACACATACACACACACGTATACATGTCTGCACACATTTGTGGACCCTTACACATGTGAACATACATACATACAAACACATAAGAATTTAAAAAAAGAAAAGCAATTCTTGTGCTGGGGTGTAGATCTATGGGTAAGAGTGTTTGCTGAGTATGCACAAAGCTCTCGGTTGGATCTCTAGCAGAGCATAAAGTGGACATGGTGATGCGCAGCTGTAATTGCAACATTCAGAAGGTGGAGGCAAGAGGATACGTTTAAGATCATTCTTGGCTACATAGCAAGTTTGAGGCCAACTTGGAACACTTGAGACCCTGTCTGTATGCTCCTAGCTCAAGAGGAAGAGGAGGAAGAGGAGAAGGGGGAGGAGGAGGAGGAGGAATAGGAGGAAGAGGAAAAGGAGGAAGAAGAGGAGGAAGAGGAGGGGGAGGAAGAGAAGGAAGAGGAAGAGGAGGAGGAGGGGGAGGAAGAGGAGGAAGAGGAGGAGGAAGAGGAAGAGGAGGAATGCAATTCTGTGTCCAGCCAACCTGTGTGTTAACAAGCAGGAACGATTCTGAGACCTACCACCACAGTGCATAGTGCTTCCCTCCTGGGACAGCAGAAGACCTTCCAAGGAGGCCCACAAGTCTTCAGAGCCTGCTGCTCCTCCCACTTACTCTACCAGGGCTGAAGCTCCTGGACAGCCTCTCCTCTGCCTGCACCTCCCTCCAGTGATACCATCCTGCCCCATGGCTTTCCACAACGCTTTTACACTGACAGCTTCCCAATTTATATCTTCAGTCTGGACATCTCCCCTGAACTCCCATCTCATAGATCCTGCTGCCTCACTGACATTCCCACTTAGATGTCCAAAGCCATCTCAAAATTAAAGTCAACCCTCATTGTCCCCCAAACCTGCCCTTCCCCCACTGGCCCCATCTTAGCAAACAACACCCACATTTACCCAATGACTCCCACCTGAAGTCATGGAATCCTCCACTCCTCTCTTTATCACATCACCACCATAGGAAACTGTTCTTCTGTTTTTGAAATATATTTCAGAACTGAGTGCTGTTTACAACCGTGAGGTTGCCACTGAGCTCCAAACTGTCTGTCTCCTCTCACTTGGACTTGCACAGTAGTTTGCTGAATAACCCCTGGGCTCCCTTTCTTCTCCCTATGGCCTTATCTCTACTCAGTGGCCCTAAAGTTGAGGCCTTGTCCCAGTTAAACCACCACAAGTAGAATTACATCTATAGTCATGGCTTTGACCTGTAACACCTCATGTAACCTGCTTCTACACCTGTCACCTCTCCACCTCATCCACAACCACATCACTCATTCTTAGGCTTCCAGACTGTATGCTCCATGAGGCCAGGATTCTCCAAACACTTGACAATTAGAATGGTGTCTACTGTGGAAGCTGTTCAGTCAGTATTTGCTTAGGGGATGGATGGGTGGGTGGGTGGATGGATGGATGGATGGATGGGCAGGCAGTGGGTGGTAGGTGAAAGGATGTGTTTCTCTGAAATTCTGTTCCATCACTATAAATATAGTTATATCTATTGTCTGAAATACCTGTGAAGACTAGATAACTACATTAAAATTCCTATGCTGTTATTGGCATAAGGTGTGTCCTAGATCAAAGTTTTTGTCTTGCTTTGTTTTTTGAGATTGGATCTCACATAGCCCAGGCTGGCCTGGAAGTCATCAAGTAACTGACTTGTTTTCGTTGTTACTGTTGTGTTGTTGTTGTTGTTGTTTTTGAGACAGGGTCTCACTATACAGTCCTGGCTGGCCTGGAGCACATAGAGATCCACCTGCATCTGCCTCCTGAGTGCTAGGATCCAAAGACATGCACCACCACACCTGGCTGTCATTTTTTGTTTGTTTGTTTTTCGATCTTACTTTCCATCCCTTGCTTCGGTATTTCTCCTGTTTCTGTGTTTCCTGCCTCCTTATATGTGAGACTTGACCTGGCTGACTGAGGGCTGACCAGGGTTCGCTAAGGGCGGGCATATGGCTCAACTATTGTCACAGAAGTCTGTCTTCTCCTTGCCCCCATCTCACTACCATATGATACATTACAGCTTCCTCCATGTTGGCATCAACCTTCATGCCCATCCTGTAAGGTGTGAGTCATCAAACCTGTGGCGAGGACACTGGCAGTGAGTGATGCATACAGGGCGTGGTCATGATGGGAATCAGTCACTGGTCCTCTGCTGCCTCTTCTCCACTCTTCCTCCTACTTCAGGACCTGCACTTCACACCCTCACTTCTGAGCACCCACTTGTGCACAGCTGCCCACCTCTTCATCTTGATGCTTCTTCGTTTAGCAATACATCTACAAGATTGCAATATGTGGATTGCATCTACAATATGTGGATTCCCTCCTTAAGACCTCTGAGAATACTTAGCCAGCAGGGGAGATGCCATGATCATGAAGGTGGTTTTCCCAGGGCAAGGCTTAGCCATTGCATTCCAGATGTACTGACCCCAGCAACTGCCCCAAATGCAGGGAGACTCAGCTGCATAATTTGGTAGTGGGGTCTGCATTTGTACTCTCCTCTGGAAAAAAAAAAAAGAACTTTTAGACTTGGGTACTCTCCTCCAGTCACCTCTATTGGTGGGCATTGGGGTGATGTCCAGCTTTTTCCTATCAGAGAGTACTTTGTATTAAATGGCCCCATGTGTATGTCTGTGAATACATGAGTGTTTCCAGAAGAGAAGGAATTTGGGGTGCCGGGATGTTGCTTAGGGGTGTAAGACAGAGTTCCATCCTCAACACCACAAAATAAGGTGGATTCCCAGGGGTGCTGCAAAGAGGCTGGGATAATTTACACCCTGACAGTGGTGTGACACACTGAACTCATCTTCTGAATTTATAAATCACTTGCCTGGGGCTCTTTCATTGACTCTTCATGAGAACCCTGAAATGTGGTGACACTGGTACCTTTTCTTGGTGAAGACTGGAATTCAACCCCATCTTGTAACTCTCTAGGGTTCATGCTCAGGTCTTGTCCTTCCTGTTGGGATAAGACAGTTCCCCAGACCCTAGGAGCAGCAACAGGAGGACAGTATGTGTTAGGGAGTCTCAGAGGGGGTAATGAGCACAAAAGAATACTGGGGGGCCTTCTTTAAGGTAGAGATGAGGAGTCTAGAGGTCAGGATACCGGATGGGGCTCAAAATCCCAAGGAGGGGCTTTCTTCCCACTTCTTCCATGGCTCAGAGGAGCCTGGGCTCAGGCTGAGAAGCAGGGCTGCGATGTTGCCATGGAAACGGAGGGTTCCTCTCTCCCTCACAGCAGGAATCGTGGTGATTGGGGGGTGAGGGGGGGTGGGGAAGGACGTTTCCCTGGCAGCACCAAGGGTTGGGGCTAGGAGGGGCTGGTCACTCCTCCCCTTCCTCTGTACCTCCCCTTCTTCCCCTACCTCACTGTTGAGGCTGGTGGTGCTGGGGTTAACTGGATGGGGAGGGGGTGGAGACACAGTGGTAGGGTAGGGTGGGAAGCCAGGGGCTCCCCAAGAAGCTGCAGAAGGTCCCTCCTCTTAGACATCCCATGCAGCAGGGGCACATTATACACCCCACGTGCTATCCAGGTACTCTCATAAGACAGCCCTCCTTTCACTGCCACTCTGAGTCACACAGTCAGCCCCACACTCAAGCCCAGTGTGCCCAAGCTTACCCAAAATGCATATGCATATGAACTTGAGAGAGAGAGAGCGAGAGAGAGAGAGAGAGAGAGAGCCAACAGCTCACGTGCAGAGTCAAACACTGGCAGATTTCACACTCATTCATACAGAGGCACACCCACACATGCATGCCACATGCACCTGCTACCTGATGCACACGTGTGATTCCACAGTCACGCTCCCATGCAAACACACAGGCACACTCCTTCTGCCTTTGTGAATGACTGTCATTCTCTGAAAGCGCTCCTTCTCCCTCCTCCTATCTCCTACTCACTCCCCCACCTTTTCTCTGTGTCTCTATCCTCAGCCCTCAGCCTGTCCTTGTCGGGAGTCCTGCCCTCTGGGCTCAACCCTGGAAGGAGATGCTGTCATTTTCAAGGCAGCAGATTCTCAGGCACAGACAGGACTTAGCCTTGAGAAAGCAGGAAGGGCTAAGGTTGGGGATTTGATACCCCCACCCCGACCCCACCCCACCCTCTCCTTCCAGATGATTCCATGTCTGATACTGTGCTGGATTTAACAGAGGCCAAACTTACCCCCCTCCCCAAATAAAAACATCCCACAAGCTTGCCTCAGTACATAAGATCGTGAATATCCAAATAAGTCTGCTTAATCATCACCAGCATCTGAGTAGTTGTTACTGAGGGCTTGGGTACTAGGTGTTGTGCTGAGTCCACTTACTTTCGCTATCATCCTCCTTCCAGGAATATCATATCCGTTTCACAGAGAAGGAAACGAGCTAGCAGCTGGACCTCAAACTGAGTCTGCCAGACCTTGGTGTTTCCTAACTAAGGGACTCCTGGCTTGCAAAACCAAGCTGCATCCCCCGAGTTTGAAGGTTCTTGGACTGGACATATAGGGTATCAGCAGGTTCCATAGTAGACACCTGCAATAAAAGCCATCTCTTTTCCTAGAGTCCTTGGATCATTCTCTGCCTCCCACCTGATGACCTTTCCATGTGGTCTCTGACATCTCTGCTTCCAGACTACCTTCCTGCTTGGCCTTCAAGGCTCTGGCTGAAGAACTAGTTTTTTAAAGGAATTAATTTATTTTCATTTGCCTTCTGTCTCACTCCAGCCTGGCCCAGGTATCAGTGTCTGCCCCAACAGTTCATCAAGGTGTTGAGCCAGGCAGGCTTAGTTAATTTCTGAGAGGATTTTTTTTCTTAGCCATGATTGGTTTTCTCTCCCTGCAAGATTATATCTGTATCCTTATGGTTTGGGGAAGGTAAAATGATCTCCCCTTCCTTTCCTTGACCTTCCCCGTCCCTCCCTCCCTCCCTCCCTCCTTCCTTCCTTCCCTTTTACTTTCTGTCAGAGTCTCATGCAGCCCAGGCTGACTTCAGACTTGCTATGTAGCCAAAGATGACCTTAGAGTTCTGATCTCCTATTTCCACTTCCCATGTGGTGGGATTACAGGCATGTACTACCATACCTGGTTTATGAGATGCTGGGGATTGAACTCAGGGTTTCATGCATGCTAGGCAAGCACTTTACCAACTGAGCTACATCCCCAGCCCACAAAATATTCTTTTTTAGTAAACATTATGATTTGAGAAAAATCTCAAGTTGCTTTATTCTATGGTTACAGTTTGACCTTCTGCTTGGGGGGGTGTTTATTTCCCTGAACTGATGTCCCCCACTTTTTAGTAAAAGTCTGGGAATTCAGTTGTCCGCACATCTGACCTAACCACTTATTGCTATGGGATGAAGAAATGAATGCAAGAGGAGCTTAACTGTCAAAGAATTAGCTTTATTTGTGAGCTGCACAGGCTTTGGGATCAAAGACTTTCTTCAAAGCCATCCCAGCTACTTTGACCACAACAGGGCATGTCCCTGGTATGAGCCTCAATTTCCTCATTTGTCTGTGGGCTGATCTGGGAATGAAACAAGACTGCTTTGGTGGTTACTTGGAAACTGTAAGGTGTTAACTGCTACACCTTTAGTTGTCTTGGCTCATACCCTGCTTTTCTTCCCTGCCCTTTATGTCCCAAGGGGACAAGGATGGACCATGGAGCCAGAGGCCTGGCTCTAGCACTCACTAGCTGTGTAACTATGGGAAGAATAACTCACATCCTCCAAAGCTCTTTCTCTGAGAACAGGGGACCACAGCAGTTAATCTGGCTGACAGCATGCAATGAGTTAATACACAGAGGCGACTGTACAGCATCCACTACATGGCTGGCCAACGAGAAGTAGGCGTTCTCTTCCTTTCCCCTCACAGCTACTACAGCTGTTTTCTGAATTTCTTCAGTGGTGACCCATTTCCTTCTTTTAAAGGGGGATTTGAATTTGGAAAGAGCCCAAGGTTACCGAGAGGCTCTTGTGGCCAGGGAGGCAGAGGGTCAGTAACAGAGTCCACGAAGGACACCCTCTGGGGGCACAGATGGGAGGGAGGGCTTCTCTGTGCTGGCTCAAAGGCAGTTCAAGAGAAGTGTCTCCCTGGATGTCCTGTATTCTACTTTATATGGCTTCCCCTGCAGGTCAGTATGCATCTTCCCAGACACAGTGGTCATTGTGTGTTGACTCAGAGGGGAGACTCTGGCCTTGGTGGCTGCTTGTCATCGGTGCCAAGCCAGATGTCAGAGCAAGAATGACACAGCATCCACTTCATGCCCCCAGGTTTCCTCAGTGAAAGAAGTGAAGTCCCGTCTGCCCGCCCCCCATGCTCCCTGATGGACAGTAGGGGAGCTTCAAGGACAACTCAGGAGGTTCAGCCTAAACAGTGACCTTGGCAATACCCAACTCCATCTTTCTTTATTCTACTTTATCCATAAGGAGAGAGAAAGCCAGGGAGAGCAAGGCCACATGCCCAAGTCTCCTGATCTTCACCCCATGCCCCACGACTGCTCTGAGACCCAGTTCCTCAAATGAGGAACTAACAGGTGCTCTCCTAGGCTTTCCAGAGAACAGCCACTGAAGTGGAGGAAAGAATCAAGTCCAACAAAAAAAATCTGAGGAGGCAAGCAGGCTAGAAGGAATGGGCAAATTAAGGGGGTGTCATTGCACACTTAAGCCCAGAGCCCTGCTAGGGAGCCCTTCATCAGCAGACATCAGTCAGGAAGCTGCTGTGTCCCTGACTCCACAGGTGACCAGGCAAGCCCTTCTGTCTGTCACCAGAATCCTCATCTGTGACAGAGAATGGGTGCTGTGTAATATCCATCCCTGGCCCTTCACCCCTCAACCCTAAGGGTCCTACAGTAGGATCTGATGGCCAGGGTGGCAGAGGTGCCCTGTGCTACTAACTCCCACAGGGAGGAAGAGTGTGTATCACTGGCTGCAGGTTTTTACCTCCATCTCCCATTTTATTCATTCCCAGGATCATCCTTGCCCCTCCATTTCCCCCAAATCTTCTAGCTGCCTTTGGCAGCTGCTGTTGGTGGCTGAGCCTAGGAAACTGCGCCACCTAGGGGCGCTTGGCCTCCACTGCAGTGGGATAGAGAGGAAGGCAACAGGCAGGGTGGCTCGGATCCCTAACAGACTTCTGGGTCCTCAGCTGCCTTGAGAAGGGCAGTTCTGGGAAATAAATAACCCCCAAGCAGAAGGCCAAAGAGCAACAACATGGCAGAGTCCAGACCAGAGCCCAAGCCTCCTACTCTAGCACACTTTTTCTTTTGTGCCCCTATCGGAGTAGCGACATTCACACACAAGTACATCTTAACACGAGTTCTTTGGAGGGACAGAGGTAAATTTTAAATCATCAGGAAATGCTTCTGTTTGTTCTCATCAGGATTTAGAGTGGGATGGGGCAGGCTGCTGGTGGGAATGGCCTGGTGGAAACCCCGGGGCTTGGGAAGGATGGACCAGGGCTGTGGCCTGGCTTCATCAAGTACTTGGCTGTACTACTGCAGTCACTCTCCAGGAGAAAGTGCCTACAAA